CCCCCCCAGTTTTGGGTGTTTGTTAATGAAGTACCAGCCCATGAAGAAAAGTTGATCCAATTAAAACCTTTTTGAAAGAAAATTACATGACATATTTACACAAAATAATTTAACATTAAGAGGTATAGACTAAATTGAGAATATATGGAGTATTACTTTACTTGTGTTGTCTATATGATTTAACTCAATGGAGTGATAACATCAAGTATATATCCAAGACACATATCTTGTCATTAGAGGCGGAGTCAATATTTGAAATTTATGAGTTTGAATTTATCATCGAGTTCACAGGTCGTTTTAATTACTCGGTTTGTAATTAAATATGCATACATATTTAATAATTTTTAATAAAAATATAAAATCTAAATAAAAGCTACTAAATTTATCCAAACTTGTACCTAATATTCTAGTTCTACCCTGACGGTTTTTGGTCAAGTGTAACGTCACTTCTTAATTGCTCCCACACACACACAAAGCTAGAATCTCTCGGATATCGTTCCTATTTAGAAAATAACACAAAAATTGTAAATTTACCTATGAACGTCTATTATGTCTGCAATTTTCTTCTTAAAGAGAAAAATATAAGGTACTTTCATTACGCTATAAAATATAATGGCTGCCTTATAACAAAACAGTAAAAGATCTCACCAGAGAATTGCAAGAGAACTCTGCCGTTGTTCTAAGTGATAGAGACCCTTTATGCCGATGCGGCAAAAACAGCCCTAACATAATAGCGAAAATAATGATGATCACGTTTTTTCATAGTAGCGTAAATAATTCCAATTTAAATACGTTTCCTGATTCATAAAAGAAAATGACTCATTGTCCTCGAAATTCCCACTTCTCTGACTTTATAAAAGCTCAAAACTGGAATTTGCAGAAATCATTATGGGATTGTATTTGTTCCAACATATTAGGATTTCTTAATAGATTACTAGCATAACGATATGTGGTAAAGATTCCCGACCCTTATCAATGAAGTTAGCAATCTCAAATTCTCAAATAGCATACAAGTAAATCATTCTGAGAATTTCATTTTCAGGATTTAAAAATTAAACCAGAGAAGACAAGTTAACAATATAAATCTGGGAAGCTATCTAATAAAGAAATGCTCAAATGCCTTAAAATCAGTTGACGTTTTATTAGCTTTATTTATATCTTTTTTTTTTCTATTGTCGCCTCAGTACAAATTTATCTTAAAATCAGTTGACGGCATGGTTTCTAAGAATTCTCTTCAGGGTGGTTCAAGCTGGAGGCTAGTAAAGCCTTTACTTTAGGCCCAAAATTTTGAGGCCTCAAATATTTTTAATAATAAATTTTATGATTTTTCCGCTTAGATAATATTAAAAATTATAGAAAAAAGAAAAAAATATATAAAATTTTAATTAAACTACTGAAATATTTATATTAATAAACAATATTTTTATAACACTATCCAAAATAATATATTGCAATACATATCTTAAGTCTTATTAACTTGGATTAACCTTAACCAAAATAATAATAACATCATATTTAAGGTTAAAGGCTTAATGTCTTTTAAGACTATTGTATGGACAAAAAGGAAAAAAAGAAAAAGAAAACAACATTAGCTTTTTGTATATTTGTATTCAATTAAAAAGTTTAAGACCTCTTTCTAAATTTAGCTTTAGGCATCTCATTAGATACATTTTCTCTTACCTCTCTAGATTACAAACATGTGAATCGGTAAAATCATTTACTCCCTCTGTTTCATATTATATGAGGTAGTTTGACTTGTCACGAAGTTTAAAAAAAGAAATTTTTACCTTCTATAGCAAAGATTAACACCTTATTTATTTTAAATAAATACCATTTAAAAAAATTATATTCTATAGATACCTTTTAAGGCTTATAGCAAAATATTTAATTTTGGTTACCTCCTAGCCCCAAGCTACTAAATACGCTAATCAGTTACACTATTTTCTTTCTCTCTCTACTTTGATACATCCCATTCTCTTCTCCTATCCCATTAAAATTTCTGATCTTCTCCTCCTTCCGCCGGATTTGTGCAAAGGCCACTTCAGAGCAGGTTCACTCTCTACTTCAGCCGGTTTAAAATCTATGGAACATTTAATCCGGTCGGTTTCTCACCAACAACAGCAGCTGCCGACATATAATAGATGCACTGATTCTTTACACCAACTAACATATAATTAATAAACCAAAAAAGGCATGAAATTTCTCCTTAATGTTTGCTTGTGCAATTAAATATAGCAGCAGTTCGTTAAGCATGATCTCACCAGAATTGGAAGAAGTCATCTTGCCAAACAACTCAGAGTAAAATTTCCACGAAGGCGGCGCATTTTCACTACCAGCTTCCGGTGAACGGCGGATTCGCCGGAAATTAGGATTTGTGCTTGAACAAACACGATGGAGTTTGGGGCTGAGCAACTTGATTTTCTGTTAATATATTTCAATGTATTTTCATGTATTTCATTGTATTCATTGTCTTTTTTTCATTGTAATTCAATGTATCTTGTTGTATTCCATGAATTTCATTGTATTCACTGTCTTTTTTTCTCATTGTATTTCAATATATCCCGCTGTATTCTATGTATTTCATTGTATTCACTATCTCGCTATATGCCATAAATGTATTCATAATTTTTTTTTAATTAATATAATTTATGTATTCAGATGTATTATATAATTTCTCTGAAGATTGCTATGTTTTTGGGGTATTTTTCGGTTGAGAATCTTTTTTATAACTGAAAATACAAAATTTGTGTGTTATAATTGAGTTTGTTGAGTTATATTAGGAGTCTATTATGTTAATTGATTCACTTTCCGTTTTAAAAATAGTGTAATCCCCTATTTCACGCCATGAATACAGTCGAATACACTCGAATAAAACAATTGATTAGTTGGACTTCCCTGATTCACACCTATTTTTGCTACTGTATTCATGAATACAAAATAGCTTAAATACATCAAATACATCTTATAACCACATAAAAGGTATCTATAATCCGTAATATAACAAATGCTATCTATAGATGACTAATTACTACTAAAAGATAGTGCTTTATGAAAATTTCCCTAAAAAAAGAAGAAAACTTTTGAAACTTGTAATCTTAAAAGCTTAAGGGGTAGAAAGTTTGTGGGACCATAACATTTGTGTGACTATAAAAGCTTCTCATTAAGGGTAAATGGGTAAAATGAAAGAGTTTAAAATTGAATTATTTCCAAATTTAGAAATGTATCATTTGTTTCGGAACAGACTAAAAGAGAAAGTACCTCATTTAATATGAAACGGAGGAAGTAGTATTTACCAGC